GGAAAGCAAGGCTATGTGAAATTCAATGGAAACGTCAGCTCAACTCATACCATTGTGGGAAAATTCTTCTCCTACCAGTCCTTGATCACCTTAAACGAAATTGGGTGAATATATCTCATATTAGTTTTACTTTACCTCGTTTTCGCAACTTGGTCGGAGCGACAGCGAAACTATGCGAAACGCACGTAATTCTGAGTCCGCTGTCATGGTATCCATGCTGATTTCCAGCATCGGACCGTCGACTTGATACATTCCCAGACGTTTCGTCGGCATCGTAGTCGGCATCTTTCATGAGAGGCGCCATCGTTAGCAGAGTTACAAATGCTCAAAGTGACGATTCCAATTGTGATACCGGCGTGACGCCTGGGAATGCACCAAGTCCATGGCCCGATGCTGGAAATCCTCATGAATACTATGGCAACGGACTCAGAACTAGGTACGTTCAACAAAGTCTCCCGGTCGCTCCGAAAAGTTGAGAAAACGAGGTGTACCAAAACTAAGCAAGGCAAGATCTTGCCGGACTATGGCAGAATACCCAGGACTAGGTATGTTCCACGAGGTTTCTCGGTCGCTCTGACCAAGTTGCGAAAACAAGGTCAAACCAACGGCATACAGACCAAATAAAGGACCGCATCATATCTACAAATGTTGTTTGGTTGCTATTCTACTCTACGACCTCAATTAAGGAGAGATAACGAGGCCATTATTATCATCCTGATGGCAATGAAATCGATATGCTCATTGGATGACATTCTAAGTATAAAACTATGAATTTACTCATAGCTTTACAAAAGTGTGCGATGATTTCTTTGTATGAGAGAAAATTACAATGTGTCCTTCCAGCGCTGTGTTTGTGATGAAGTAAGTCTTGATTGCGAATTCGGTTTTTTATTTCGTTTACCGATATGGATTGTTTCTAAGGCGAGTAGTCAAGGTATACACGATGAGGAACAAAGGTTGCAGTTTACTTTGCTCCTCTAGCCATCTGCATAGAAGCTCTGATTATAATGGAAGCATTTTCTCGCAATCGATTAACAACTCGCCTAACTCCGCCATACGACAGGGCAATTGAATGCCTTTCTTAGACTTTGTCTGCCAACCCATGAGTCTAGCTTCTGCACCCGCCGACTGACTCCCCCAACCCGGCCAGCATCAGACGCAGTCCAACTAGGCTAAAATGACAGAGTGACGCACGGAAGGTAGAGGCACGCGACCACGAGTTGGCCTGTCTTTGCTCCACTGCTCCGAGCCCAGGCCAATTTGAGAGGCAGACGAGTCCAGAAGCAGTGGTGAGGCCCAGAAACTGCAGAATATGCACACAAAGGCACTTGGAGACAGGCTCCAAGGCAGACGCTAAATGGTGGACAGAGGAGAAGAACTGGCCACAGTGCACTGCTACTGACGCAGCCAAGACGAGTGGAGGCTAAAGCATATTTACGACCAACGTCCACAGTATTGTGTGTTGGAGTCAAAAGACCCTTTGCATGTATTGTCCATAATAGTATGCCTCTTGAAGTCAGTTATACGCGCACATGAGTGATGCGGGCCTGTTTGCTCCTTCATGCGTACCAATAAGCAGTACCCTGATTCAGTGTCTGCCGAGGCTGGAGAGGTCGAGTTAGACATTTAAACGAATCCGACAGTTTGTGTTTATGCTCGGCCCTTCAACGCTGAAACCGGAAAAAGGAGTCGGTCCAAGGAAGTCTCGTCAATATGGTGGCCCCGCAGCATGAGTCATGGGACCGGTTACCGAGGCTGCCTTGGGCGCGACCGGTATGTATGCCTGCATGTACATCTCGGTATCTTGAACGCCTGTCTCAACATGCTGCTTGGTTTGCGCCCAGACCTGACATCGAGGCTCCAGGACTGGCTGAGAGCGTTTTTTAGTTGCCAGCCGACCCGAGTGCCCGAGTAGTTGCTAGCACTAAAGCCAAGGGGTCTTTCAGTCAGCACAGCGTAGAGGCACTGTGGACCTGGCCTGTACTTGCAGATGACGCATCTGCATATACAAATGTGTGAAACAGACTAAAATGCCGAGAGAGAGAGAGAGAGAGAGAGAAATAATGTGCATTTTAGCATTCATGCTGTGACATTTGTGCTGATGCACACAGAGCTCAAGAGAAGTGATTAAAAGCGGTGTTGGTGAAGCCAGGGTTTATGCCACGACTGACTGGACTGACCTCAACTGATCAACTATGCCTGTTCGTTGTTTCATCAATCATACACGTTGTCAAGCTGGTCGTGTACCTTGTAGATGAATTCGGAGATATGTAAACAGCCTCTAGCTCTGGAATTGTTTCTATGCCATTTTGTCTGCTTGGTTAGCTTATGCAGACCCGATTTTGTATATTGGTAGGTTGAGTTGTCCTGACCTCGCTTTAATGCAGCCGGATATCTTCTCACGCTTCTGGCCCCTACCCTAATAAGGCAAATGGCGGGCCATTGGAAACTTCTTTACGAAGAAAACACGGCTTTCGATGACGCTCCAGAGATAAGATTGTTGTGAAGTCTTTCAGTTCGTATGAAAATGCATAATTAAGATGTTCGTGGGTTAATCTCACCAGAAGACGACAGCTGATTACCGTTTGCACAGTTCACGAATCATCCTCCGTTGTTAGGATTAAAAATGGCTGAGCTTTCATTCCTCACATGATGGACATCATCGGAGCTATAATTCATTATTGTAAAAGTCTCACGTTAACACAAAGCCAAAAAGACTGACTGATTCTTTCCTCTATGATATAAATATAGACTAATCACAAAAAAGATTAGATATAGATGGCTATAGGAATATATGAAGACCAAGATGTTGTGGCCTCTGGTGTGGTCGCAGTCTCCTTTCGATTGTGTTAAGTTTGTGATAGGGCGTCAATGGGATAAAAGGGTAAAGAGAAGATAGATAGGA